TCATTGATCAGTTGAAGAAGGTTGATGTGAAGGTGGAGGAAGAGGAAAAGGCACCGTTGTTCCTAGCTTTGCTTTTAGACTCCTATGAGGTATTTGTAGAATCTCTAATATGTGGGATGGATACAATAGTGTTAGAATAAGTACAAGCAACATTAATGTCTCGTAAAGCCCGAAAGAAAAGTAAGAAAGGGGATAGAAATCCAAGTGGCTCGGTATTGGTAACTGAGGTTCGTAGGAGGAAGTCAACCAATAAGGGATCTAAGGGTGGCAAGTCTAGATCCAATAATGTTCTTTGCTTTCAATGCAAAGGGTATGGACATATTAAAAGGGATTGTCCTACAAAAGGGGATGAAAGTAACGAGAACAAAGATGAGTGTGCTTTCGTTGCTGAAGGTGATGATTGTGATGTCCTTATAGTCTCAAAGAATATAGATGCAAATTCTTATTAGTATTTAGATTCTGCTTGTGTCACTCACATATGTTATCAAAAGGATTGTTTTGATTTACTTCAAGAAGGGGTGGCTGGGAATTTGACTCTAGGTAATAAGTCAATAGTGAAAGTCATGGGTCTTGGAGTAGTAAAAATCAAAATGTTTGATGGGGTTGAGCGCTCTTTGGGTGGTGTGGCTTATGTCCCAGAGATGCGTAAGAATCTAATATCATTGAGCCTGTTAGACTCTCAAAGTTATGGATATTCAGCTTGCGATGGAGTGGTAAAAGTCACACAAGACGACATGGTCCTGATGAGGGGGAATTTATATAATGGCTTATATCGTCTAGAATATGAGGCCTTGAAGGGATGGGAACAGTGCACAGGAGATGGTAGCTACCAAAGTGAGATTTCATTTGTCGAGGAGGTGATGAAAAGTTCCCATGGTGTAGACGATGGTGAAAAGATGAAAAATCTTGCTAGTGGTGAATTGGAAGGGTCGTCAAGGTCCCTTTCCGAAGTTAATTAATGCCATTGACTTGATGGCTGCATAGGTGCATTGGTCGTTTTGTGGAATCAAGTGTTGGACCATGCTTGATTCGGTATATGTAGTCATGGTAATTATAAAGGCCAATGATTTGAAAAGTCTTGTGCTTGGAGAGTTGTTCAAAGTGTTGGAAAGTAGGTGGAGTTAGGAAGATGCAATTGGGTGCGACTGGGGGAAGAAGTTTAAGGAGTTTGAATTTAAGTCAAAGGTGGAGATTTGTTGAGTTTTAGGTTGATTAGAATTCTATATCTTATTTGATTAGAATTTTGGTTTATGTACAATATTAAGTAGTTGTATAGTTTTAAACTTCTTATCCACATAGAGTCCTAATCACATTCTACTTTGGACTTTTATACTATAAAAGTGGATTTCTATGCTTTAGAATTGTAGTAATGCTTTGAGAGTCTTAGAGAAATAACACTTTGTAACTCTGTCTTTTGCTCTAGGTGGAGCTAGAGTGGTTTGGGTGAGTGTTCTTGGGAGGTTATTGAGAAAGAGTGTGCAAGGGATCTTGGGTTGGTTTGGGGAGCCATAGAGGTCAATTTATTGTACTTTAATTTCTCAATAATATAAGAATAGTTTCACTCCATGGACATAGGCAAGAGGCCGAACCACGTAAATTCTTGTGTTTTTTGTTTGCTTAATTTCTCTGAGTTTTATCTTTGTTGTTTCTTGGGCAATTTCCATAACATCCATGGCACAACGGAGTCCACAGTTCCTTCTTTTGATCTAAATCCTGGAGAGCAATGTTTAATGGAGAGGTAATGTCCTGCAATGATCCATGGCCATCAATGAGAACATGAAAATGATCAAATTGGTTGCTGAACTAAACGCAACAATATCCATTGTCCAAGTTTACCATTTGAAACTCTCTCTGTAATGACCATAATTGCTTGATCCTATTAAACAGATAAGTATAACTAATATCATAACCTGGCAACTTCACAATCGGAGTATGCTTCCAAGTGGTTTCATTATCAGAATCAAATTCATAAATAAACTCTCCATCCTCCTCAGTATTATCATTCTCCAATCCAGTAGCATGGGTACCGCTAATGAGCATATTGCAATAGGAGTAGTACACATTCTCTTCTGGTTTTAAGTGTGAAATGTGCCTAGTCTCAATATTCTGCCAAGATCTATCAAAGGTTTCTTTAATGCTTGAATGTACTCGTTTATATCATGTTTTCTCATTTGGTAAGGATTCATGAAAACCGCCTAGTGAAGGAGGATCCTTTGCCAGATCCGCCTCAATGAAGAGACAAAGGTAAGGTTTTTTGCTTAGTAGTGTACTTTAGTGTAGTAACCTTATCGTGTGCATATAATTCTAAATCTTGAATCTTAAACATTAAATTCACATTCGAGCATTTAGTTCATTGGTTAGTGCTGATTTATCTAAAGTGAACAATTTGAATCCTTTTTTTCAAATATTTTTTTTAATTTTAAGCATTAAACTCTAATGCGATTATGCGAGAGATTTCTTAATTAACATTGTTAGCCTTAATTAAATTTGACACTATAAAATGTTGGCATGGACTAACGTTTACATTAGATCATTCCTTTTAAGAACACAAACATTAATAAACATTTGACACAAAGTGAATACCATTTGCTTACATTCACCAATGAAAGATAATATAAACTGTTATTGTAATAAATCACACGTGCCCACTAATCAAAACCAAATGCATACTTTGCTAATTTCATTATGGATGATTTAAGACTATCATACTTTGCTAACAATTATTAATCATTAAGGATTAGAGGTCATTGTGTTTGGTATCACATAAAAATTATATATAAATTTATTTTAAATAATAAAATAACCATAACAATTAATAATAATAATTTGAATATTGAATAAATATAACAATTTGTAAAATATTAATATATAATTTTTTAGATATAAGGTATAATTAAATGATTTAATCAATAAATATAAAACAATATATTTATTAATAGGAAAAATTACCTTCTAAAATATTAATTACATAAAAAATTTTTAATGAATGTCAAATTTTATATTTAGTCATTATACTATATCAAAATGTTACCTTTAATCTCCCTATTACTTTAAAAAAAAAATTTAACCTCTCTATTATAATACTTATAAATCGAGTTCTTATACTTTCAAAATTTGTTAATATAAATTTATTTATTTACACCATTAAAAGTTCTTTATTAAAGTTGCTACTGTGGTATTGATTGAGTTGACATGACATTTGGCTAAGATGACGTACATTGACTAGTAATGATGTCGTATTGATCAAGTTGACATGAAAACTTTTGGATTAATTCGTTTTATGTCTCTTAATTAAAATTTATTAAATGAATTACATTCTCACTTAGAATCAATGTACATCAAGAATTCTTATTATCTATATTTATGAATTTTTCAAAAAAAAGAAAATTTTCATCTATAAAAGGAATTTACTCTTAATGCAAATCTAATTGAAAATTGAGTCAAAGTTCTTAATATTATGTATGTATGGATAAATTTGATTATAAACTAATAAAAACAAAATCAATTACCTAAATTCATATACTGCAAATCTGTTATTTCTTTCATTTAAATTAAATATTCATTTGTTAAATGATACAAATTTTAGAAATTAAAGAGACATGAAAACTGGAGGGTCTTGTCTAAAATTAAGATTTCACTGCAAAACAACATTTGAAAAATGTTTATTATTTTAAAACAGTGAATATTATTTTGAAGCATTTTAAAAAATTAAAATTGACTTTCAATTTGAAACAGATGAAATTGTATATAGGTAAATTTGAACCATTCAAAATTGAAAATAGCATGAATTCAAACTAATCATTCAATCCAAAATGATTTGAAATTTGAAACAATCCAAACATAACTTGTTCCAACTTAAAATCCTTAATGTTTATTAGAGTATAATATGTTTTACTTTTATAGGAATTAATTTTTAAAAACACATAAGATCTAAATTTTTTTAATTATTTTTAAAAAATTTCATAAACTTTTATTATTATATTATGTATAATCAAATTTTTATATTTTTATTTTAAATTAAATAAATCTTTATTACTAATAATAGTTAGTTAAAACATCAAATATAATGATGCCACCACACATAGTATAAAAAATAACAAGTGATGTTTTAAATAATGATAATTAATTAAAAGACATATTTAATTTTATATAAAAGTGTAGGGTTTAATTAAATATAATAAAAAATAAAAATTTATTTAAATTTTATAAATAGTTTAAATTTTTTTTAAATATTATGGCTTTTAAAAATTATAAAGAAGATAGATTATAAGTAACAATTTGGGTAAAAAATTATAAGACAAATAAGCCACTTTGGACAGAGATACACTCCCTCTCCATTCTCAAGAAATGAAGAACAGTACACTATATATAACTGCATGGCTTGAGAGCGGAAATTGACAAAAGACAATGATTCGCGCCAGAACTGCCTGTGCTCGATTCTCAACCCATTTCAACCTCCTTCGAGCAAGACCATTTTGTAGTAGCACCAAAGACGGCAACAACAACAACAACAAGAACAAGGACAACGTTGATGGCAGCATTGGATCAAATGTCAGCACTCACCACGAGTCGTATCGTCAACTTGATAATCTCGACTTCATGACTGCTGCTAAGATCCTCTTCACTCATCCTCCAAAGAAAAAGAAATTTGGGTATCACTTTTTTTTTTAATTTGTTCGATTTTTTAATTGGGTTTGAATTTTTTTTGTTTTTTTAAAAATGGGTTTTAGGATTTGTTGGACTGATTCTTGGTTTGAGTTGTATTTGGCATTTCTTCGAACATGTTTCCTTCTTAAGTGTTCGCCTTCTTTATTGTGAATTTGATGCTTAAAATGGCTACCTCCTGTTTCGGCATTGGTTGTAATGAGGAAAATTAATGAAGCATGTAAGTTCCTTAGCAGGCAAAATATGTGATATGAGTGCAATATGTTGTGCTCCTGATTTCCACATTTGCTGTTAAGCTTATTCTGGTTGTTGTCATTGGAAAACTCAATGGGATCAATTTGGTTTAAGTAGCGACATACCTGCATGAAATTTATTGTTTGATGGCTTCATCGCTGGTTTCAAGTTGATGATACATAAGCTTCCTAAGGGAGCAAATTTTATCATATTTGACGACCAGAATATCATATATATGCATCCTAGTTTTCTTCCATTGAATGCAAACTTTCTTGTGATATAGCAACTGTGAAATTAGAATCTGCTACTTCCTTTCTGCATCAGACATTCTTGTTCTTTTTTTTTGCTAAGCAGACATACTTGTTCTTGTTCAATACTCTGGATGAGTTTCAGTCCTCGCATGCTCATAGAGTTCTTGAACTAGGCATTTTTTGTAAGCTTAGAGTGGGGGATCTTTCAAAATAATTTTTATGAAGTGAAAGCATGTACTTATCTCATAATTGGTTCTTCAGTTAGCTTCCTGGCATCTTTCTGCCATTGTTGGAATTTATTCTTACATGTCTTTATGTTCTTTCAGGATAGATTTCCATCTGGTACAGCTTTTCTTTGCCTGCATGCCTTCATTGGGTATCACAACTAACAAGTTTAACATCTGCCAATTTTTAATTGGATTGCCTATTGGTTTGGTGCTGGTATCTAAAAAAACACTTCTTTTTTTATTTTTTTGTTTTGTCACAGCTGTTTACTTGGTGGCTCAATATGCTCGCTATGAAATGAGAAAAATGGAAGCGGTAACTAATTTTTCCTTGATGTTTATGCTTTCTGCTTTGCATAAGTTTTCATGATTATTTGATTTATGTTGTCTCTTTCTATCCCTAATTTCTCACTTTCTTCCACCTAAAGCTTATTTCATTCACCTCAGGAGCTGGAGGAGAAAAAGAAGCAAGAAGAAGAAGCAAAAAAGAAGCAAGAAGAAGAAGAAGAAGAGAAAAAGAAGCAAAAAGAAGAGGAGAAAGCTAAAGAGATGGAACTAACTGCAACTGAAGATAATAAGGGTGGAACTGATACAGAGCTTTTAGAGGTAAAAGTGAGACTAGGTAAACTGGAGGAGGCAGTAAAGGAAATTGTTGTTGAATCAAAGAAACAATCAGCAGGCAGCATAACTAAAAGCCAGCAGAATGCTAGTGAACCAGGTGAAGCCAAAAGTACATCAGAGTCAAGCAGTACTTTGGGGCAGGACAAGCTTGCAAAACAAAAATCCACTGAACAAACACCAAGCTTTGATCAAGGAAAAGTACGAAGTGCAGCACCTGTTTCCGATGGTTCCCAAAAGGATCAGAAGGGTGAGAACCAGAAACCTTCTCAAGATGCCTAAAAATGATGAAAGAGCATTTCTGGTAAAAGAACATCTGTTTAATTGTTTACAAGATTCTTTTTATAACTAATTAAACACCTCCTGTACCTAGTCCATTTTGCCCAAGGATATAACGGGTGCTTGCCACTCTGCAGAGGCATTGGTGATGAAGGTGTGTTAACAGTTCAATTGCTTGTAAGGGATGTAGATTTGCATAAATTTTATCCCTCTCTCACCATGAGAAAATCTTTTCCCAGCTTCTGATATGTAAGAAATACTGTATCACAGAGCTTGTCTGCTCCTGATCAAGGCCACTGTTTGGAAAGTAGATTTTGCAAAGCATATTGCCTGTTTTGTTCATTAGTTGAGTTTCGGGATTCGAACCCTGAAAAAGACGTCCTCTTTTCTGCTTCATGCCTCTGATCCTTCTATCTTTTGTCTAGTTCAAACTGGGCTTGTACAACTATTAGTTCCATACATGCATATTGCGGAAGCAAACGAAACGTAAGATGTTGTATTAATAGATGAAATCATGTGTATCATCTTGGAGGTGTAGCCAAATAGTCTCATGGAGATTATCAGATGAGTGCTTGAGGTGTGAGGCTGTTGCAGGTGCTTCTCTTGCCCCTGTGCGCGTGCACATGTAACCAAAATGTGTAGTGTATGAGGTTAGATTAGAAGAGCTTGACTCATGAGGATGTGAACATCAGAGGCAGGAGTTTATGTTCAACTACATACATTGGAGGAGGAACCCTTTAGCATCATAGAATCTTCAATTCTGTTTTAGTGATATACCTCTATGCATTTGTGATTTATGAATGACTCCATTAGATATAGGCTTTATTTGAGTTGTGAAAATATTAAGGAACAGGCACAATTCTAAGAAAAATTATAAAATATATTTATATATAAGAGAGAATGAATGATAATTGAAATTCCTTTCCCTGGTCATGAATTATATATTTTTTTATTTAAATAAAAAAGGGGAGGGGCATTGGGATGTATATTTTCTTTTCTAATTTTTTTAATTAACCTATATATTTATCATTTATTTATTTGGGTAATTAGAGGGGGAAAAAAAAAACGATAGTAGTGCGTGTTTGTCCGGAGCTGATAGGTTCTCAGGCCACACTAGAACAACAGCTTAAACCTCCCCGCTCCGACATCTTAAACCCTAGCAAATCCATCACCAAAGGCAAAGACGAACCAGTACTCCAGCATTGATGGCGTGGCTAATCCGACCTGCAAGAAAAACCCTTTCTTCTCCTTATCTTAAAGCCCTACTTCTTCATCAACACCCTGAACCCACCTCCCTGTTCACCTCCAGGAACTACATCTCCGACATGCGGAAAGCTGCATTTCAAGGTAACATTTTGAGGCTCCTTCGTAACGAAATCCAATACGAGCACGAACGATGCCCTCCCAAACAGGTACTCTATTTGCTTTCTGGGTTTTTCTTATTTTCGTTCCGTTGGGGCAAAAATGGGTCTTGGATTCCTGGTTCTATTAAAAGTTGTACTTGTATATTTAATAAATTTGATATTAAAAATGGGTTTTTTCTTTTACTATTAAAAAGAAAATGCCTGTAGAAGATGGTTACTTCTGATCGCAGTTAGTTGTTATATTACACTCTTAGAAAATGTATTTTTAAGAATATAAACAAAGGATCTTAATTTGATTTCATTTGGAATTAAATGTAAACTGGGAAGGCAGCAATATATTTCAAGTTTCAAAATGTTATTTTGGTAGTCATTGGTCAAATATTTATAATAATATGGTCAATGAAACAAGGTAAATAACTAAATTTGAGAAATTGGGAAAACAAGAATCTCCAAACTTAGTTATAGTAGAGTAGGTGTCTAATTTGCTAGAAAAGTTGGAAAACAAAGGCTTTAAAACTTAATTATTTACCTTATTCATTGATTGTATATAGAGTAAAGTGGAGATGACAAATGAATACCACTCTTCAAAACCAAAGGACCCCTACTGTATCATGTTCTATTCTTATCTTTCCTAGAAGCATGGGATATGTTCAATGGAAGCTTAGCAATAGTTTGTCCAATTGAGAACGAAAAATAGTTCTTGAAATGACTTACTGTTTCATATCCTATTGGATTGCTTGGTTGTTGTGAGTATAGATATCTATGATTGGATGGTATACTGTTACCTTGTTTTCCATCTGAACTAAATAACTCTTTCTCATTTGGAATTCTAACTATTGAATTGCAGCCTATCACCAGATTCAATTCTTTTATAGTTGATGACAGACCAGGAGAGCAATGGATTAGATTGAAAAGAAAATTTGGAGAGAAAGAAGATATTAGAATTGAAGCAACGATGTTTGATGGGTCCATTCCTGTCTCTGATTCAGAAAGAGTAGGGGATAAAGTGCAGCTTCATATAACATTTATTGTTAACATATCTAAAGGGGATGATAGTAATGTCTTGGAGATCATGTGCTCAGCTTGGCCAGATGCCATTGTGATTAAAAACCTTTTTGTTCGTGGGCATAATAGGACACCAGCTCAGCCTTACATTGGTCCTGAGTTCAAGTATGTTGTTTTATTTGTTTGCTATATTTGGTTCATTAGATAGCTGAGAATCGAAACAAAAAAAAAAAAAGACTTTGTTTGTTTTAAAATTATTATGACTGATTCAATAAAATACCTTGTGCAATCATAATATGACTCCACCTTTGCTTCCTTTAGTTTATTTTGGTTTTCCCTTTTTTGTCTTTTCAAGTTAAATCTTTAGATTAGCAGGTATATGGTTAGTAAGCATCTTTCTTTTTGTATTGTTTCTCACCATTTAGTAGACTAGGGAGTTATTGGCTTGTTTCTTTGAGTATGTCTTCATTGTGGTTTAAGTTATTCTAACCAGCAAATTTGGTTGGTCCTTACAGGGAATTGGATGATGAAATGCAGGACGCACTTTATGAATTCTTGGAGGAAAGGGGTATAAATGATGAACTTGCTATTTTCTTGCATGAACACATGAAGAACAAAGATAAAACTGAGTTCATTAGATGGTTGGGAATTGTCAAATCTTTTATCGAGAAGAAATAGAGATATGTTTTGCTGTGTTCCTGCTGATTTATTTCTATTTTAGTTACTGAGAAGATTAGTTGCTATTCTGATTTTATCTATGCATACAAATATGCCTACCTGCCTATATTACTAGAGATTGCATTAAGTTTGATTGGAGATGAAATTAGCTTCCTGTAATCCTATGATGCTATCTGATGAATTTATTAATGAAAAAATGACAAAGCCAAGCTTTGAATGAGTAGGAGAAAGAAGATGGCCGTATAGTAGTTAGTATTTAGATCCATTTCCAACTTGGATGAATAACAGGTAGATGTTTTGATTTGAAAAGCATGAAATCACAGGTTGACTATAGATCATATGATTTTCGTTTTTGTTCATGTTGAAACTGAGCCTACTAGCGGCTGGTTACTTACACAGCTCAACTTTTGGTTTGGTTTTGTGAGTCAAACCAAGATATAATGTGAATATGTTCTTAAAGCGAGTTAATCGAGTTTCTGATATTCTTAATATTCTAACTCCTGAGGCGATTATAGGCATAAGCTTTTTTACGGTGCTAGCCTCTATTGACAGTAGTATTGTTTTAGTAGGAAAGAAGGGAAAAAGGTGAAGAAAGAAAGATGAAAGAGAGGAAGGAAAGTTGTTTTCTTTCCTTTGGTTTGGTATGAAGGATGGAAAATCAAAAGGAAAAAAAGAGATTAGGAGTAAAAAATTGTAAATAAATGATTAAGTTAAATAGAAAGAGTATTTTCCTTTCAATGTCGGAAGGATTAGATTTGGATGGAACGGGAAATAAGTAATTCCATCCGTTTTCTTTCTTCCCTTCTGTTTCCCTCCTATCAAACGAACAAAGAGAATGAAAGAGACATTATTTACTTCCACTTCCATTCCTTTCTTCTTCTTTGTCCCCTACCAAATATGGTGCAAGTCTTCCCATAACAAATGGACAGAGCTTGGGTTTCTAGTAAGCTCATATAAGAATTAAAGATTAAAGCTATCTAAATAGTTTCTGCTCTATTCATTCTCACAATCCAACAGGAAAACCATCTATCTAACAAGAAACCTGTAATCTTGGGAATCATCTTTCATTGTACTTGAGATATTGTTGGAACAGGGGGAAAGAAGACTTTAATTCTGGAATGATTCACCTTAAAAAGGCCTCCTCTATCGTCAGTCTTGTCTGACTTGTAATACTTCCCTCCTCCCAAAAAGGAGGGTGGCCAAATTCAAGACCAGAGCATTCAAATCCCTTAGCAGTCAGCAATTCAGCATCATCATTTATGAGAGAGCTCAAATAAGACAATGTTCAAAGGATTCTACATTGTCTAAAATGGAGCAAGTGTACACTTGCAATTAACCCAAGAGGTGAAGCAGTCCCCCCTTGAGGACTCTGATTTGGCATGTGAAGTAATGGAGACTTATATTAAGGTGAATCCTTTTCCTTTTGGATTGGGTAGAACTTTAAAACTTGATCCCAACACACCATAAAGAAGGCAGCTGAGGCATTAAGGTGAAGACTGGTGTCAATATGGAAAACTACTGAACGTAAGGGGGGTGACCACATGGCCCTTGCACCAAGAATAGCAAATGGCAAAACCCAATATATATTATGTAAATGACAAGGGAAAGAACAATGGGAGATGTTGAGAAGGAGGAACTACTTACTTCTTGCTTGAATTTTTCACCTAATCTCAGCCAAAATGATAGCTCCACGTTTTGCATGCATCACTTTCAAACCAAAGATTTTTGTAAGTGTTTCTTAATTGAGAGGCAAAATCAAAGGTTGCCAGTGTTTTTTAATGGCAAAATAACATGGATAAAGGCAGAGCAACACAAGGAATTGACAGTCCATCTGATTCCCGCCACGTGTCTTACAAATGGGAACTTTCACTTTCAACAAGCCCCCCTTCCCTCCCCCCTGTCACTTTATCCAAATCCCATGCTAATGAGAGGTTTTGCCATGATAATTAACTGTCATAACAGTGAGATTTTTTGTTGCTTTACAACTTGATTCTTGGAAAATCATGTTTTGCAAGAGTAATGATTAACATGATCTTAATTGTACCCATCAAATTGATATGGACCCACTACTCATTGGACCCCACTCAATAGATCACTTAGG